TAGGCCTAGGTCCTATTAAAGTTATTACATATTTTCAATGTATATAATTTAATGAATAATAATAATGTAATTTTCTCAATAATGTTTCTCTTTTAATTAAATTACTGTTCACCAAATTCCCTCCCCAGTTCTGTTCCTCGTAAATCATGATCTTATCTAATACATCATAATTTGTAATTTCAGAATAATCACGCTCCCGAACAACCTGGTTGCCATTGTCATTTCTGACTTGGCATCCACCACCAGTTCTCATAATTCAGAACTTGACAAAAACGTCAACGTTGATGGTACTGGTAGTGAGAATGCAGGTGGACAAGAAGAAACAGATGATGATGATGAAGATGGTGATTCTGAAAACGAAGATGGCATGGATGGAATACAAGCTGACAGTGAAGATGAAAGAAAGAAGAAAGAGAGAAAGAAGAGAAAGAGAGCACAAGAGAAATTGGTTAGTAACTTTCTTTTCCGTCATTCATTTATGCATCCAGTACATCTAACAGAAAATAGGTCTAAAATCTGCCATTTAAAGTGTGTGATGCCTGCCTTTATAGGCTGTGAAGCTTAGGGAGGCTAGTTAGAAGTTAGAAAAAAAATCAAAAAATTTAAAAACTTAATTTTTTATTAACATTTTTTCAGAGGTGGCTCCAGAAATTTGCCGAACCAAGAGGCCAGCTAGAGCCTCCTCGGTCAGGGTCTAGGAATAAAAATCTCTGATTAAGTTCATGGGTAGTTTTTATGGCTTAGTAAGCCCAGATGTACTTTAGATCAACTCATTAAGGATTGCCAATCAAAATAATGTTATTGGGATAGGCAAATTATTATTTTTGGTACGAGGATCTTGTCATGGCATAGGACGGCACCAGCGGCGGGGTTACTGGCCTGTCCAATGTGGGAGGGGAGGGAAATTCCCTCGCTGACCCTCTGCTTGCTCCATCACTACTATGTACAGTATCATTTATTATTTATTAATTGATTTTAATAGTTTTGATTATTGTTATTGTAACAGGCTGCTGCATCTCTAAGCATTGGTGTTGGAAGCTTTTCTGATCCATCGGATATCCCTGGATTAGCTCACTTTCTTGAACATAGTAAGCTTTTATTTTATACCAGCTATAATGTATATTAACATAAACTCTTTATTACATCCTGGCAGATGTATTGTTAGAACTCTGCAACTCATGACAAACTAATTAGCAAACTGAGGTCTTCCAGCAGCAGTGGCCAATGCTGTAATAAATTCAGAACAACTTTTAGTACAGGCCTACCATGTTGCTGCTGTTTCCATCTCTGCTACATTTACACATTATTTATAAAGATGACGACGACTGTACATGTTTGCAATAATGCATATATCAGCAAATATTATATTACTTAATGAATTGCATACTTTCAGTGGTGTTTATGGGCAGTAGCAAATACCCTGATGAGAACTCATTTGATGCTTTTGTAATGCGTCACGGCGGAAACAACAATGCATCTACTGATTGTGAACGGGTAAGTTAGAATGAATATTAATTATATACAGTTCACTCTCCAATTCGAAACCACCTTTAAGACCTGAAAATTTAGGGTGGTCTCATTGTTCAGTCTCTAATTAGTGGGTTAGCTTTGTGTTAAAAGATTGAAGATTGTTATTAGGTTCTTTGAAAAAGTGTGCTTGAATTAGAGGGATCTCAAATTGGAGGTGCACTGAATGGATAGATTGTGACATTCAACCTTTTCTACTCCATTCTGTGCATTAATTTACCCATTGTGCATTATCTGTTTGACCTCTATTCTGTGAAAGAAGTTGATGCAACTTCCATGTAAAACAGTAACACTCATTATGTATACCAATAAAAAGATTATTAATAATTTGGAACAGTATAAAATGTTTATTACACTTTAGTTATGTACACTTTACACCAAATTATGTAACAAAGGTACAAAAAATATATAAATAAATCCGATAGAAATTCTAATGTTTCTATAAATCCTCTAAAAGTATATTTTATTCTATTTGTTTTTTTGTAAGTGACACACCACACATTGAGTTGAGCGCAACCCATGTAAATGGTGAATGCCAATAAAGTATATTTACTTTTTTAGACTGAATTTCAATTTGA